ATAAGATATGCTGTTTTTTTAATTGTACCTGGATTCATTGCTTTCGTCACTTAAAAACTGTTTTTCTGCCTTTCGGAACCAAGAAGATGTGGATTAAAGAAGAAAAAAGTTTTAAGTATGTAGGACTCTTAATATTTTAATGAAAGCAGCATCCCACTAAATGTTTTAAATAGTAATGCAAAGTATTTTGCTGTAGTTAAAGGGAAGAAAGTCTACTCAACATCTTATAAATTAAAAATAAAAGTAGCTGGAAATGTATCTGCCTCAGAGATACACTGCCAGTTATTGCTCTAAGAAGTCTCCAGTATGGAGAGAGAAGCATGAAAATAACGAGCTTGCATTTGACAGCAATTTGTGTGAATAAACTGACTTCAGTTGGTGTTGCTTTTGAGTTGAAGAGCATCATTTACTTGCTGCTATCTCCATTGGAAATCCAAGCTTTCTTCAGCTGAAGTGGCAGATACAAGAAGGAACTTAGGATTTTTACTTCCCAAATATAAGATTTTGAGCTTTAGAAGTGTAAGTGAATGCGTCCTTTTTTTGTAATAAGGTGTGAAGTAGGTGTTTCTTCCAGAAGTAATGTTTTTCGTGAGAAGGCAAAGTCACAGAACAGATGTGCTGAATTACATTGCTGGTTTGTGGCAGTGGCTCTGTACACTGTGGAACAAAATACATCTTGCAGCAGTGCCTGTGCAAGACTCGAGGTGTTCTTCCACGTTTGTTTAAATAAAAGCAGTTAAATTTTAACAGAGGGAGTAGTGGATCTCCTTTTTTGCAAAGTAGGTTTGGACAAAATGGTAAAATACGGCCACTTCTGTTATACTTGGCAGCAGGTCATTCCTGTATCTGGGCTGATGTTAGGAAGGAATTAAAACTTGAAGATTCTTTTTTTCAGTGTTTGAGAAAATGCTTTCATTTTTTAAATAATTTATATTCCCTCTGTAAGCATTTAAGTACCTTAAAACTTCAACTGCTTTGTACAAGAAGCTGTAAAACTGAATGATTATTGCATTTTTTTAGAAAAATAACTTAACTCTTTGTATCAAAGTGCATGTTTTAGTTTGATGTTTTGCAAGAAATGTGAAATTAATGATTTTTTTTCAACAAATACTTGTAGAAACTGAAGAGAGCCGCAACAATATCTTCTTACTGTTGCTTCATTTCATTAGACAGCTGGATTGGAGGCCTGAGAAGAAAGACGGTGCAACTCGGATGCGACATGAACGCATCGTTATTATCAGGAATATGTTTCACCCAAAGGACTTTGAGGTAGGAAGATGCAGTTTGCTGCTGTAGTTTGTGCTGTTACAGTTCACGTTGTCTGAACTTTCTGCCATAGGAATCTTAGCAAAATTCTAAGCAGATGGGAACAAAATTAAACTAGGGCAGGGTTTTTTTCCTGTGCCAAGCATTTGCTTAAAATTCATTCATTTATTTCCAAAAAGCAAGAAAAAGGTGTTTGTAAGAATATGTTTTTCAGATCGGCCCTTTTTGGTGTGTCTATCCCGACAATATTCCTTTTGGGGATGGAAAGAGAAGTAGACAGTAACTGTGTTAGAGTGGAGAATCCAGCACCGAATAGCTGTATTAATAAGTAGCATTTATTAAATTCAAATTTCTGCCAACTCCAAGTGGCTTTGAAAACACGACGTGGTGGTTGAGCAAAAATAAAGCTGCGAAGTAAATGTTTCTATTTAAATTAATCTGTGTGATTGCATTGCAGGAGGATCCCTTAGTGCTAAACGAAATCAGAGAAGATCTGCGAACAGAGTGTGAAAAGTTTGGTCAAGTAAAGAAGGTTCTCATATTTGATGTAGGTATTTTTTACAGGTTATGTTGCCAGAATGGATGTAATGTGTAAATGTGCAAGACATTTAGGATTCTTTAAATATGCATGGAGCATTTATTTGGTTTTGTGTCTTTATTTCATGGAAACTCAACCTAATCTTTCAGTATTTTAAAATTAACTGGTTTGGAAATTGATTTATAAGCACCTACACCTATCTGCTTCAGCCTATGTGAAGGCAAACTGTAACTCTTTCCAATAACTTGGTTACAAGTTTCAAAGTTTATACATTTATTTGTAGCTAAACTAGTTGAAACGTTCGTTTTCTGTGTTCTGCCTACCAATAGAACAAAATGTGTAAACTTGCAAATTGAAGTTTTCAAACATGATTGTGTGTGATCAGGATGGAGCTCTATCCTGATTGATCTTGTAAGACAATCTAAAAGATGGTGGAATAAATACGCTCTTTAGAAAACCACTAAATGAAAGCCGTCTCTCCATACAGCGACACCCTGATGGCGTGGCTTCTGTGTCCTTTAAAGAAGCAACAGAAGCTGATCTGTGCAAGCTCACCCTAAATGGAAGGTGGTTTGGTGGCCGTCAGCTCAGTGCTGAAACGTGGGATGGTGTAACGGATTATCAGGTAGCCTTTCGTGGTCCTATTTTTATCAAATATTTCTTCCAAACTGTAAATCTCTTTTTAATTTGAGAAACGCTTGATCATTCCCATCCTCATACCCTTCTCCTGCCTATCTTGCTGCTTTTCAAAAACTGCTAGGATGTCTCAAAAAAATCATCCTTAATTATTCAATTTAGCAAAAATTTAAAGGACCTGTTTGGTGTTACAAGTGATGTGTTGGGGATGTCAGCTTAGAGGATTAGCCACTGGATGTACAGATGGTTAGTGGACAGTCAACAGGGCCTGTTGAAATCTTGAGATACTACTGCAGTATAAATGTTTGTGTAATTTTATCTGTGCAAACATTCATTTTCACAAGTATTGCTTTGTCATGATGTGTATAAACATATCTTTACTAGGTGGAGGAGACCGCAAGAGAAAGGGAAGAAAGGCTCAAGGTGTGGGGATCATTTTTAGAGGATGCTGATGCAAAGGAGCAGCAAACTACATCTGGTGCAGATTGTGCAGCAAGTAGCGTTCAACTGCCTGAAGGCAGACAACCTTCGAAAGCTAACGACTCGTCTAAGGAAGATGTAAAGGGTGAAGCCCATAAGAGAGAGAATAATGGTGAGGGCGTTAATGAAGATGGTGCTCCTTCTACAGACAGCAGCCTTGCAGGCAGTGATGTTGAAGCAGATACATAACATCGTTAATGCTTTATGAAAGCGTGGTTTTTAGGGTGATGTTTGAGTTTATCCCTTTCTTCAGGGTGACTGCAGACAATATTCATATGAATATATGCATATTAGAATGTCATCAACTGTGTGCTTTGAAGTTTTCATTAAAAGCAGTATTTAATGAGATTCTAAAAGTTTGTATTAATTGGCTGTTCAGGTAAAGTAGCTCAAGTTGCCAAGAATGCAGTAAAACTCATCAGGCTTCTTTTGTTCTAACTATGCTTGTCAGTGTTTCATTATGTAAGTGTGAAATATGTTCCAACCCTTAAGTTTAAGTAACTAAATGTAACTTAAGTAATGCAAAGCTGTTACAAGATTTGTGGATTTTACTGTTAATTCTCCTGTAGTCCTTGGAACTTGGTATCTCATCCTTAAAAACTATTCTCGTCCTGAGTACTTTGGATCATTTTATGGAACAGATGCTGTGATATGTATAGGGTGAATGCATCGGATACGTGGCTTTGCATTACGTAGCAAATGATGAGTAGTACCAAGTCTCAAACTTAAAGGAAGTGGAAGAGAAACAAGGTTGCCATAACCAAGGTAGAGGCAAACCGACTGAAGATGGATTATTAAATCACAGCATTCAGGAAACTTTTTTTTTCTTCCCCTGTTTAGATCTTCTGTTGATGCTTAGATCTTCTGTTGAGGCTGGAATTATGTCAAGGAGACTAGAAGTGCATGAGCACACACGTTCTAGGCCATAATGAAATAAGCCTGATCTTAAACTCTCGTGGTCTGTAAGCAGTAGGTATGCAGAATAGGCTTTTAATTGATGTGTTGGCTTTGTTTAGTTTTTGCTTTAATTTTAGAGTAAAAGTTTTTGTTTAGCTTTGTTAGATGGCGAGTGTGTGTTCTCTTCAACATTTTAATTTAGCCTATGTGCTCTTCAAAGCAGGGAGGATCTCCCATATTTCATAAAATTTAAAGGCTTTTGACAACTTGAACTATGGTTTGTTGTGCAAAAGTTGGAATACTTGAAAATACACTTTCAAATAATATTCTTTTATATGGAGAAAGCAAATGCCAGCCGTCTGAGAAATATTTCCAAAGCAAGGATTTAGAAGACATTCTGACTTCAGGTATCTTAATAAGTGGCAGGCTTTCAGAAATAACTTTGGGGCAGCCCTTTTGGGCATAGTCATTCTTAATTTAGGATTCCATTATTTTGATACTTAAGGATAGAAGAATATGGATTTAGGCACTAAACAATTAAAATGTTGGTGCTAAATTCGTAACACACTGTTCATATGGATCGTTACTAGTGCGCATTTTTAAGGAGGATCTTTTGAATTTTTTCAATTCATATCGGATTGCACGAAACCATAGATGCTAATTCTTGTATTTCCATTGTCAAGTATTGCGAATACTCTGAAAATTGGTATTTTTGAATTTTGTGCTCTGAGATTACCATCTATACTTTTTTCCCAGAAGTCTATATGGTACTCTTAAGTTTTTTGTGGTTTTTTTAAATATGTAATTGATATGTGTGGATAGCTATGCCAACCAGAGCATCTAAGTTAACCCTTGCCACTGTGGTTATAGACTGTATCTTCTTGTGACGAAAGATCTGGGCTTACCACAGAGATGGTATTTGAATTCAGGGTTTAAAAGTCTGGGGGCTCATTATAAGCTGGCGTGACAAATTTCCAATTTCGGGTTGCATTGTAAAGAAGAGCTGTAACTTGCCAGCTAAGACAGACCATTGTCTCGTCTTTACAAGTGTGCAAATTGTACGTTTCAGCAACGCAGAGGGTTGAACCATTCAAGGAATCTGAAATACTGCCTGGTCTGTAGCTGCACGTAGTGGCATGTTCAGATCACGTCTCCAGGTTGTGTTGGTTCTGCCTTAGTTATTTTTACTGATAATAAGCACCACAGACCTTTGAGGGCTGAAGGTTTTGCCATACGAAGAGTGTGATTTAGTGTGGTGTGGGTATTGCTTTCAGTGCTCCTTTTTATCTTCCGGCTTCTAGACTCCAGGCTTTAGATCTGTTAGATTATTGTGTTTTGTTAGCTTTTTTTTTTTGAGAGCCTAGTCATAAAACACTCTGCACAGTTAAATCAGCTGTTTTACAGTGGAATTGTAACTGATATAGGAAAACTATTGACAAATGTATAAATATTGTACAGTTCTATGAAGCCTTATCATGGTATCAGATATAAAAACTGAGGTTAGTGTTAGTGTTTGAAAAAAGACTTTAAAAAATAAAGAATCATTCTGTGTGCAGTAACCTTCCTCTCTCCGATTGATGTACAAATTTGATTGGCTTGCTTCAAAAGTCAAGTGTGATGTTAAGTCTTTTCACCTTTTTCTCTAGACTTCACACTGAAGTAGAGCACCGACAAAGACTGAGACCAAATGCTTTACTGGCTTTCCTATTAACTAGGATTCTTAAGAAAATAAAAGCTGTTTTTCCATGCAAATACGTTGTTCTGAAGTGTGGCATTACACTCAAACTGATATTTTCCTTTTGCCTACCTCTGTTACTCCCCAGTAAAATGTAAAAATGTATTTTTATAAACTGTTCGTTGAGTTATTGAGGCATTTAGTAGTTTATGGAGAGGTTAATGCCGCTGTGGCTTTCTTTTCAGCAGATCTTCATTGAGACAGAATTCTTTTGATGTTTCCTTTTAAAAATTATGCAAATTTTTATAAATTTGAGCATAAATTAAAATTTTTGACAAAAGTTAAAATTACTATTTTGAAATTTCATCATGAAAATCTTGTAGGATAAAGCAGTAATGTTTAATACCAAATTTTAACAAATCTGAAGCTGAACAAGCTGAGTTGCTTTTTAAACTTACATTTCTTTGAGCAGCAGCATAAATAAACTGGTAAGAAGTTAAAACCCCAATGCAATTTTCACTATATTTGTTCTTTAATTAAAAGTGCTTTCTAATGACCTGTCTTGCTCACTAGAAGTGACAAAATCAACCTCTTTGCTCAGTTTCTAATTTTTCTTAGGTTCCATTCCAGTGTTCCAGCATACTACATGTTCCTTCATCCCTAGGCTTCTGGTGAGAGGTTTGCTTTAAGAAAAGTTGAGTCGTCTCCTTTCCTCCCTATATTATGAAATCAGTAACTAGCAGCAGGTTGAAACAATTTGTGGATAATCATTGTTTCTTGATTTTGAACTAGAGAAATGGCTGTTTCTACTAATTCACACAGTGTAACAACGTGG